CTCTGTGAACAGTAAACAGCCATCAGTGTGCTAATGATCCATTGTTATGCTGATGGTCCTTCTTGATCATGTGATCAGCTGGTTTTGGTTGTCAGCAGCAAACTGGTTGATCCACTCTGAGACGGTGCTATTTAAGAGACTGAGCTGAATACAGCTCCTCAGACTGAGGAAGTCTCTCGGATGAGAGACGAAACGTTTCTACATTTTTTTGTTGATTTGCTTTGTTTAGTTTTTTTTGAATGTCCAGAAGACCAGATTTAACTTTTTTAGATCACAGATGCCATTTTTGCTGCGAGGATGCTGATGGAGAAGAACAGAGAGGGTCGTAAAGAACTCCATTGTGTCTTTGTGGATTTATAAAAAGCATGTGACAGAGTGCAGAGGGAAGAGGTGTGGTGTTACATGAGGAAATCTGGAATGGCAGAAGTATGTTAGACTGGTGCAGGACATGCATGAGGACAGTGGGACAGTGGTGAGATGTTCTGCAGGAGTGGCAGATAGCTTCAAAGTGGAGGTGGGAATGCATCAAGGATCAGCTCTGAGCCCCTTCTTGTTTGCTCTGGTGATGGATCGACTAACTAATGAGGTCAGACAGGAATCCCCATGGACTGTGATGTTTGCAGATGACATTGTGATCTGTGGTGAGAACAGGGAACAGGTGGAACAGTGAGGCTACAAGGAGCAGAGGTCACAAAGGTGCAGGACTTCAAGGACTTGGGGTCCACTGTCCATGAAAATGGGGAGTGTGGTAAAGAGGTGAAGAAGAGAGTCCAGGCAGGATGGAGAAAGTTTCAGGAGTGATTTGTGACAAAAGCAAAGGTCAAAGGAAAATTTTACAAGACATTGGTGAGACCAGCTGCGCTGTATGGTCTGGAGACAGAGACATGGACAAAAAGACAGGAGACAGAACTGGAAGTAGCAGAAATGAAGATGTTGAGGTTCTTCTTAGGAGAGACAAGGACGGAGAAGATCAGGAATGAGATCATCAGAGGTACAGCACAGGTTGAACAACTGGGAGATAAAGTTAGAGAGGACACACTGAGATGGATTGGACATGTCCAGAGGAGGGACAGTGGTTTGGACATGTCCAGAGGGGGAACAATGGGTATACTGGTAGAAGGATGTTAGAAATGCAGCTGCCAAGAAAAAGACAAAGAGGAGAAACATGGACGCCGTTAGAGAGGACATGGAGGTAGTTGGAGTGAGGACAGAGGACAGAGATGGAGGAGGACTCACTGTGGAGACACCTGAAGAGGTAAAAGCTGAAAGAAGATTTTTCCCTGTTTCCCTTTGTCCCTGTACTTCAGATTTTATATTAGTCCACTAGATGGTGTTCTGCTTGTGTGTGAGAGCCTCTAAGAAAAAAAAAAGTTGCTTCAACTGACCCTAGAACAAAAGTGTTTCAGTTTGGATGTAAAGAGTGAGGAGCTCATTTGTAATGTGCACAAAAACATTTAGTCTGAAAAAGCTGCTTCATGTGCAAGTCACGGCTGACTGCCGTCGTTTTCCCCAAAGCAGGACTCCATCAGTGGGTGCACCGGGCTCCTCGTGCTCATCACTAGTAAATCTGAGTCCGTGAAAGAAAGAGCAGAAAATGGAGTTGTCCACAGGTCGAGTTTAAAGAATAATAATAACGATAATAAATAATTTAGGGAAAAAGCCGCCCCCTCCATGTCCAAACACCAAGTGAGACGAGTCAGTCTGACCAAGGCCTCATTTTCAGCTGCCACATCTGAAGGTGGGTGGACTGGAGGGGCTTCACAAAACCCTGCACTGGAATCAAATTAAAATGCTCTAGAAACAATTTGGGCTTTACTAACTGGAGAAAATGCATATTTTCATAAAATAAATAAATACGTTGTCAATTCTTAAAAATAAACAAAGTGTATTTTCATGTTTACTAAATGCCTTAAAAGAGTCCATTTTTTTAAGTAAATTAAATTTGATAATTTTATTTCGGGCTGTGATGGCTCTCAAAGACGGAGCAGTTTATTGAGGAGAAAATAAAATATTTAATATTACAATAATATATTAAAGCTGTTAAATGAGGAGCATGACGGTGATGCAGTTAACAGACCGTGCTGAACCCAGGAGGACGTCTACAACACATATACCAACAGGCACACACGTCTGTGCTGCTACAAGAAAGAACTGAGCACCCACTGAACATCAAGCAGAACCCCCCATGCAGTTCTCTCCCAACACATTTTACTGGAAAAACTCATTAATGTAACAGACTGGTTGGACTCCAGTAAATCACAGACCATTATGAAGAAGTGTAGAGTATCTCTGGCCAGTCTGAAGGGGTCTGATGGCCCTCGATGCCCACACCACGTGCACATATTCTCTAGTTTTTATTTCATATATTATATATATATATTCCTTTATTCTTTGTATAAAAACATAAAAATCAGGGTCTTTGGACATTTAATGATTTCTGCCTACCTCATTTGTGACCTTTGCCCCAAAGAGCCACCCAGCTCCTCTGGGACTGATGGCCCACGTATCCACGTCTTCAGGGTCCGACCACACCAGGTCACAGAAGGCTCCTTTGTGGGGGATCTCCTGGTTCCGCTCAATGGTTCGGATCTGGTCCAGGGTCTTTATATCTGGAGAGAGGCCTCCATGGACACACAGGACCTGCTCATCCATCAGCTGCAGACAGCAACACAACACCTGCATCACAGCTTGTCTGCACTGACACTTCACACATTTCTCAGTCTCCAGGTTCAAGGGTTCATCTTGATCAAACAGCATGATCCAGTCATGTGGGCTGTTTCAAATAAACTCTTTGTGATGAGTAACACGCATCAATTAACTCAAAGGCAACACGATTTAAGCCACTAAATGTCTTGTTCACAAAACATGTAACCTCACATTACTTTTGTTAATCAAGTTCAATAATGTGTTTCAGTGCGAGCTAGCTCCGGTTGCCGACACATTTCTGTGGACAAAGCCCTGCAGGATGTTCTCCTAACTCTAAGAGCAAAGAGCAGCTGTTGTCAGGAGTTGGGGGCAAAACCCAACAAGCACTGAAAGCGCAGTGAGCACCACTGAACAAAATCACTGCATACGGCACATTATACGACAAACTGCAAACTATAGCAACGGCCCCCGACTTTGTACAAGCTTTGACCTTGATTTATGATCCTGACCTTAGACTGGGATGATGAAACGTTCCTGTGACACGCTGTCTCGTAATGAAACAAATATGTTCCAAGTTTCATTAAACATCAAGGGAAAGTTGACATACATACAGACGTGAGCAACATGTGGCTCCAGGGCCAAAAGTGGCCCTTAGACCCTCGCTGTTCGGCCCCTTTAATTCTTTATTAAAAAGTGAACAACTTTTCAATAAGTTGATGAGGTTTGCTTTTATATAATAACATTTAGCAAAGTCTAAGTCAAACATCTTGGACCAATATATCCCTTTGGACTGAGAAAGGCTAAAACTTATTTTAAGTCGTTGTGAAAAACTATTTTTCAATTCTCCATGCGGCCCTCTGATTGCTCAAATATCTCGATTTGGCCCTGTGGAAATAAATGTTGCCCACCCCGCCACAACACGTGTGCATTTCGACAGGCGTGTAGACAAACAGGAAATCATTTTTATCCTGTCTAATTAGATAAAATACTTGAGCCCAACAGGGTTAGGAAGTTAAATGTTCTGTGGAATAAGACAAAGTCATCGTCGCTCGTCTTCCTGCAGTTTGTGCATTTTAAAACTATGTAAATACCGTTAGAAGCAGCATTTAGAAACATTTGTCTTTCTCCATTTCACCGCCTGCATTTGTATATTCTACGTGAAACACGGAGTCTCACTCCGGTTTGCAGCAGCATTTCACATACGATGGAAGAGAGGATGCTGATGTGACACACTGCTCTGACTCTGGCTGCTGGAAGTCAACAGGTTCTTCGTGATGTTTCAACAACCAGCTCAGGGCCTGTGGTAGCACTGGAATCCTTTCAGTGGAGCAAACAGCCTTACTCACCACATCCTGGTCACTACATGGACCCACCCAGCACACACACGTTTTGCCCCGCTCCCCTCAGGAAGGAGGTTGAGGAGCATTAAGTGTAGAACCACTAGACTGAGGAACAGCTTCTACCCTGAAGCTACTCATGAATCTCTAACCAGAATAATCACTGTGAAAAAAATCACATCATGTTGCTGCTGATCTGTTTCATGTTGCTGCTGATCTGTTTCATGTTGCTGCTGATCTGTTTCAATGTTGATGTGTTCATGCGTGCACATCTGCTCACAGACTCATGTTCATGTTTGTG